TACATACATACATACACACACATTACATAATACATACATATACAGGGCTTAAAAGCAATGCTCTATCGCAGGGTCTTCAACCAGCCTGCATAACATATAACCTCCCGGTGTGTAACGATGACCCTTTACGGCCGCACGGGGGTCCCCGACGGATACCCGAAAACTCCCGACGTATAACATGTAACCTTACGGGCCCGTACGGCCGTCGCGGGCGCCGTACGGCCGTACGGGGGGTCCCGGACGTTTCACATATAACCCCCGACGTATAACACGGATCAAGAAATCGTACGAGCGTGCGGCGGCGCCGTGCGGCGGTGTATACGGGCCCGTATGGTTATATGTTATACGTCGGGGGTTCTATGTCATGGCCGGGAGCCCCCTGTACGGCCGTGTGGGTATGGTTACAGGTTTTACGTCGGGGGTTATATGTTGGTAAATAATCGAATTTCCGTCTCGGGCTTATGCTTTCAGAAAGAAGGCGCCGAAACCATCAGGACTCTTTTCGGCTCTTACACAGCACACGAACTGCATGTCTTGACACTTCGCCTGAGCTTATGTCCTGTGCACGTGCTGTGATGCTATGTCAGATATGCCTGCGCTTGAGCATAATCTCGCCAGAAAGGGCTTGCACTGTCAAAGCTATACATGACTGGAATGCTGTTTTCTGCAATGTTATATGTGGGGGGGGGCCAGCCCCGGTACGCCCGTACAGCGGTCCCGTACGGCCGTACGGGCCCGTGAGGTTATATAAGTTATACGAAGAAAGGTTACATTAGGATATGCGGGGCCAGGTCAGGGGCTCGATAGAAAGAAGGAACAACATGGCTTTTGGAACCTGTTAATGTACACATAGGAAACCTCTTGCATTCTTGATCACACTGTTGGGACTACTTCTCTTGAAGCTCTCAGGTCACGTGTGGTGGGCCAAGTTATGCAAAGGAGTCTAGGAATCTTTGGATACTATCGCAATCCACAACACAACATCAGTTCACCTCCCCTGGCAATTGAGCTTACCATACGGGCGAAAGCACAAGCAGCTCTGTCCAGGTGCCATGATCATCGGCCAGTAGCCCTCCACGTTGCAACCGGCTGCCTGCAAGGACCGTGCAGTCAAAGAAGCTCAACAAAGCCTAAGCACTCATAGGCGGCGATGTGCATGCTGATCTTACCCTCAGAATGACCGATATAACCATCATCTGCGCCCTGATCGAAGGACCAACCCTAGCCAAAGCTGCTGGTCCTTGATCAACGTGCTCATAGAGGCAGGCGTGATGTCCTCAACGCAGGATTTGGACTTCTCCTAATCTTTAGACTCTGCGGGAATCCCGGCGATCTGTTGCTGCCGCGTTTCTGCGCCGTCATCGTGGAGGATCAGCGCAGCGTAAGTGCAGGCCAGCTCACCCTGGCATCTGTACACTGAAGCGTCTCAAACCTGACGAGCCCACTATGTAGTCCAGGTCTTCAGGTGACGAAAACAGGGCCAGAAGGGTCCGATGTCCACAAGTCTACGGGCCTTCTGCTCAGGGCTCAGCTCGTCGATGGTGACACCGGCCATGTTTGACCAAGGCTTCGAAGCTCACTTCCTGCACAACAAAAGGCTACCCCCCCACACATGCTCAGGAAAGCCGACGCCCAAAGCCCAAACGCCCCAAGCAGAGCTCCAAATGTGGGCGAATAGGGTGTAGGACCGCACCCCAAAAGTCCCAAACAAAGCCCTTTCAAAGCACCATGGTGCCTCCAGCTTCCGGCCGCTTTTTGCGGGGGACCCTTGGCCCTAGTAGGGAGCCGACATAGCCGCGGAAGGAGGACCAAACATGTGCGGACTTTGGGCTTCGAGGACTGGGTCTTAAGGTTCCGGGTTCAGGCCTCAGCTCTGATCACAAGGAGCCTCGTTGCTGTTGCAAATGAACAGAGGCTAGCTGCTACCATGGTGTGGGTCCTTGTCTTCTGGAGCTCCCAAGTCTCATGCCCCAGTCTGCGACACGCTGCCACTGTGCCCTGCCTCTGTGGCCAGCGCATCGGGCCTCAGAGTGACGAAAACGTTCTGCTGAATGCGTCATTACCATGGCGAATATGTCTACCAGTATTTACGTCTATTCTGGTATTGCCACCTTTGATACGATGGTCGCCTGCACCAGTGCCACCAGCACCACGACCCCTACTACTTCGGCGTCGTAGTCCAAGGCAGCATTGCGGCAAGTATTCGCGTAGTCCAATAGCATGGCAACTTCGAGGATGGCGGAGGCGGAGCGAGGTTGGCTCCAAGCCGATGTAACAACATGCTAAACTTCGTATCCATCACGGTCATGACCGCAGCCACGCAATCATGCTCACAATAACAATGGTTGTATATAAAACTAACTGTGGCATTCACTCTGATGGCAGCAACATAATTCGCAGAATATGGACGGGAATTTCAAGCTGAACATCACAATAGGAAGCTAGGAAACAAGGCAAATAATCCTAAACACGAGAACAACGCCACCAAATGAATGAGGGCAATCGCAGCAGCTTGAAAAAAGATAATAGGTTTGGCATTACTCCGAAGACACCACCATCTATGATTCATTGCCCACTCTCCAACAACAGTGCAGCTCCGCCCGGCTCCGCCGATATTGGGATGCGGGCGCGACAGCTTTGCTGGCTCGTGACGCGATCTGCCTGGCAGCAGAAGTGGAAGCGGAGGCCTCATAAGCGATGCCTTCCACTACCTGCACGTCACTGCAAAACTGAATCTACAGACACAGAGAGGGAGGGAGGGAGGGAGGGAGGGAGAGAGAGAGAGAGAAAGAGAGACAGAGAGAGACAAAGAGACTGCGCACAAGCAACTGCCTCTGGAAAGACTATCACAAGTTCACGGCCATCAAGATGAGGGCCA